ATATATATAGTACTATATATATATATATATATATATATATATATATATATATATATATATATATATATATATATATATATATATATATATATATATATATATATATATATATATATATATATATATATCAACTTGTGCAAATGATTATAACATATATGTATAAAATATAATGTAGTTTCTTTAGAACATATCATTTCACGGACAATTCATTCATACCTATCGCTTCTCGTAGCACTGCAATCTACAATCTCTTCATTCGTGAAGTAATGGGCTACCAGATCCAGCCCAAATTCAGCTGATGTCCTATCCTTTTGGGCGACTAGCAACCCTAAAACGATTGCTAGACCAAAGATACACTTCCACAGATACTTCGGAAGTGTCTGGGGCACACTTGGAAGAGTCATAGTGTTGTGTACTTTGATCAGTGTACTATTCATCTATTCGACCTATATATTCTACTAATTCATCGCATACAGATTGTTCGGATAGAAGTAGCAATCTTTTCCTGTACTTATCAGCTACTTCGAATTCCGTAGGAGCTCACCAGACCGTTAATCGTAAAGAGGTTCTACAACTAGCACATTGTGAGAGTGATAGATACTGTATGTATATTTCCTTTTAACAAATGTAGTATACATACCCTTGTCCCTTCTGGTACTACATAGAGGCTTTAAAAATATGTAGTATTTATAGACTATAAGTACAGTATATTTAAAAATCTATTTGGAAACCACTATCTATTGTGGATCTACGATTGTCGATAAATATCTTTAACTTCAAAACTCGAAACCCAAACCCTTTTTTCTTTTTTTCTTTTTTTTTAAACAATGTGACCGTTGTTTTTTATTTATATAGTTGACATTACAATACGACAATACGACAGACTGTATGTCGCACTGACTATTTCCTGAAAAATTACCGTATACACCCTAGTCAGTGACGTACATTTGCTGAGGATTAATATATGTATATCAATAACACATAACGTAGTATACAAGTACGAGCGGAGATCGACCTGTCGGCTCGTGTTCAGCCGTGACGACTGCTGTTGATACTTGTCTGTGTAAGGGGAACAGACAAAAAAGAGTAGGGATAATATTATTTGTTCTTTAAAAGAGATAAGATACGATGTATGTATATATAGTATGGCTCTCATAGCCGTTGTAGTGGTTTGAGGAAGATCGACTTTGAAAATATTGGAAAAGGAACTTGTATTAAATTTTTTTAAATACAGATAAAAACCAATGTGTTATCTCATTTAATTTTGATATTTTAGACTGACCGGAGGCCGTATCTCTACATATACAAGTACGAGCGGAGATCGACCTGTCGGCTCGTGTTCAGCCGTGACGACCGCTGTTGATACTTGTCTGTGTGAGGGGAACAGACAAAAAAAAATAGCAAAAAGAGATAAGTTACGATGTATGTATATTTGGTATGGCTCTCCTAGCCGTTGTAGTGGTTCGAGAAAGATCGATGGGAAGAAGTGGTCAGTATATTTCCGTTTGAAGCTTGGGCCAAGTGATTCGACGGCGCTGGGTCGATTCAGGTGCTGATAACAAAAAACTGACACCATCGAGTGTGCCACGTATTTGCTTGCTGTCTTACTAAGTAGCATACCCACCTCTGTGATACGGATTGGATCTGGGATAGGTTAGTGTAGAGTATGAAATACCGAGTAGGACCAGGTTGTCCGTCATAATGTGGTCGAGAGGTGATGTTATGGGTAAAGGTGGGGCGCAGGCCGCGAGAAGAACAGATAATTGAAATGATCTATACTTCCAGTCACCGTTAGATCCAAATATACCCCGGCCGTAACCTTTTTTGATACCAAAGATAGTAATGATAACGTATTGATTTGCCTTAACAGCCAAAACGTTAGCAAAAAAAGTCTCCGAAACGAAAATGATGGCAATTGCATATATGACGAGCTGATAATGGATCCCTGCCGCTACAAAGATATATTTGAGATCTACGCAAAACGGGAACGTTGTACGTTGGGGGTGGTGATATTATCAATATTGTCGGTGTCAATCTTTAGTAGAGATATTGTTGCACGTTGGCTAATAGTAGAGCTATATTCACAAGAAAGTAAAAAAAACGTGCTAATAAGTTTCGGGAAGTGGCAGTTGGATACGGCGATGGACCCAGCCTGCATGTATAAACGCTGTTTCCTCTGTCCTTGTTCGGCTACTTTACAATATATATGTATCAATTTGGATGCCATTTTTAACTCTCCCCAAATGTTTGCTGTCATCGCATATGGCTATAATGATTGAATTTTAGAATTTTGTTTCACTTCAACAAGCATTGTCGTACATAACATATGGTTCTGTTGTGACTTTATCTGATATTTGTTGGCTGCATCCTTGGCTGTTGGTGATTGGAGGCTTGTCACGAGACAGGCCGATTAAAGTGATAGTACGGCGAAAACGGTTGGTCTCAATGGTATATTGCCGTGCAGTGCCGTCCGTCATCCCAGTAATCGTACACGAATCATGACAATTGGCTATGTTAAAACATTCAGGCCCTGTGGGGCGGTTAGTACGGTGACGACCCGCCACGGAATGTTGAAATGCCGAGGCAAGGTGTCATATCCATTGGATAGTATACACCTCTCGATTGAAGTAGGCGGAAATTAGGTGCCATAATATTTAGGTCCGGTTACCAGGGCAATTTTTGCCATAGCGGGCAACTAATATTGCTGTGGCACTCTGTAATAATACTGCTGTGGGACTCTGTAAGTGGATCTGCTAAAGCACTTGAGCCGCCATCGCTTCTAGTGGCGTGGTTAGATACTTGCTTGTTCTATTGCAAGTGGTAGATATTGAGTACCGCCATTGCGCCGTAGTGAGCTGATTGATAATAGTATGTCCTTGGACAAAGATCCTATTATATTTGCTTCACTTGTGCGGCCCGAACTACATACAATTGCTGAGCTACGTGTGGAATAATTGTCCAATCGTACTGAAGTACTTTCCTTGAGCGAGAGAGCGCGTCTGCTGCTCAGTTGAGGGCTTCTAGAAGACACACAATTGCGGCGACATGTTGGCCATATCGCTTGAAGACGAAGTATGATCGACGCCAAGCTAATTGATTCTTCATTCTTTTAAGTGCTACGAGTGCCGTCGTTGAGCTGGCTAGTAAATACTAGAATTTCTGTTTGCGGTAGATGGATACTTTTTTTAGACTAAAAATGACAAAGGTATGTACTGTATCTCATATATACACGAGTGCTGTCTTTGAGTCGGCTAGTAAATACTAGAATCGGTGTTTACGGTTGATTGATCTTTTGTTGATACTAAAAATGACACAGGTAAGTACTGTATCTCATATATACACGAGTGCCGTCGTTGAGTCGGTTATTAAATACTAAAATCGGTGTTTGCAGTAGATGGAACTCTTGTTGATACTAAAAAGGACGAAAGTATGTACTGTTTCTTATAATTACACGAGTGCCGTTGTTGAGTCGGCTAGTAAATACTAGAATAGGTGTTTGCGATAGATGGAGCTCTTGTAAATACTTAAAATGACGAAGGTATGTATTGTTTCTCATAATTACACAAGTGCCGTCGTTGAGTTGGCTAGTAAATACTAGAATCGGTGTTTGCGATAGATGCAGCTCTTGTTAATACTAAAAATGACGAAGGTAGCGACTGCTTTCCATAATTATAGTATCGGAATCGGTCATTCTTATTCGATTGGGAATCAGCGCCATGCGTGCGTATAAAATCCAGTCTATCAAGGCGATATTAACGCCTTAGAGTAATTAAACGCGTAGGTTAAGTCTAAGTATCGTGGAATTCGAAGTAGATAAACGAAATGAGTCTTTGGTAAAGTTAGGTATGCCTCGTGAAAACAGCAACACTCTGACGGATTGTGAGGCGGAGACATTGCCTATGTATAATCCTCTCAGTACTGTTTTCGCCGAAGGAATTTTATTTAGTGTTTCGTTGTCGCTCTGTTGTGTTTCGTTGGGGCGAATCCGAGAGACTCATAAAATCCTATCTTTAGAAAAAAAAGAAAAAAAGAAAGAGAAATACTTTTGATGTCCAAAGCTATTGCATTAACCAATAACTTGCCATTTATCCAGAATTACCGACTTAGCCTTCATCAGACTGGCACATCTGGTTGGCTAAACAAAGGATAAACTAAGCAACGCTAATAGTCCTTAAAAACATATGTTCGGTTGAGCCATCTCGCTACCGAAGTATTCAGATACAAATAGATTTATATAGTTCTATTAATAGAAATAGGCCAAATCTTATGTTTGGTATTTTACTGGGGCCTTTTAAGGCCTTGTCCAAATATCTGAGATGTAAAATGGAAAAGGTATTAATTAATAAAACCGTTAAAACCCATTTAGGAAACTTAAGTTCCTCGTACTATTAAGAGTACGTTTATAGTTTACGTACTGCTTAAGAGTACGTTTTTAACATAGAGTCTAATGTGGAGGCCCGGCTATTACATGTATCCATATCTAGTTGTCGATTCTCAGAGCTCCGCCTTCAATCTTCCGCCTTCGAAGCATCGGTTGTGAGCGAGTAAATGTTGTATTAGTATGAATATTACACTCCGTTGATGATTCCTGAGGGAGTGTATATATTAACTTCTTCATCTTTTTTAATGTTAATCCGGAGAGTCGGACTCTTGCTTCGCAAGTGCTGCGCTGATGTGTTAGTGTCGATAGCTTGCCTTGTCGTCGTATAACGGATCGATGAGGGCGCGTTGTAGGAACGGCAAAGATGTTCCAATACACTAGGCCGAGTTACCGTTGCCAATGTTTAAGACTGATCCGTCGCTGTTTGATCAGAAGTTTACACAATACTTTCGACGAATCTATTGCGAGTTTTTTTCCCTTATTTTTTCTCGAAATATTATGTGTCAGTCCGTAGAGATTCGCAGCGAGGTCTACATATACTCTCAGATGGGTGGTTACCCAAACTGATAGGATCCAGTGACCCTTCCCCCACGTTAGCCGCAGTTCGAGTATGCAAACAATGGTGACTATGTGTAAAATGTGGACCCAACCATAACGCTCGATTTGACCTAAAACTAAACGCACTCTTGCTCACAGAGCTTACGGAGATAAAGCTTAAATAGACCTTTGCGTTTCGCTTCTGCAACCATCACTTCTACTGCTGAATTCGTCATATGTGATATTGCTTGAGACACTTAAGTTTGTCAGCATCATCTGACGTCTGCAAATAAGTTTAAAATTCTCCTGATTTCAACCTCGAGAGTGTGAGATCCTCTTGTTATAGGCTCCTCAGGAGATGTCTGAGACGCCGAAGCATTATTTAATAGATATAGATTTATCTATGTCCTCATTTGATACTATATCCTGTTAAGGACCATCATCGGAATCACGCCAATAAGCTTAACTTTAGTCAGTCAACTTCACACGTTGATCATAAACTTTAGGCATATTAGCCCTTAATAAAAGGATGACATTGATTCTAGTGCGAGCTTTTTCGGTTGCATTGTTCATACTATGGTGAAAACGATCGGCTATGACTATAGCTCTACTCTCATGCAATTTAGATACAAGTACTTCTCGAAGTGTTTGCGTAGTCTTTGAAGACTTATTGTCATTCTGTGATACTGAATTTTCATATACAGCTTAATATAAATAGTTTTGCTATTTATGTTGGTGTTAAGAAGAATGGTAAATGTATCTACCCTACATTGAAAGTCCTTTGAGAGCTATGTAGAAAATACCGACGGCGTCAAAGCGCGAATGTATCTACCCTACATTGAAAGTCCTTTGAGAGCTATGTCGAAAATACCGACGGCGTCAAAGCGCGAATGACTACTTCGGATGCGACGTGGGTGAAATTAATTTGTACTGTGTATCAACCCAAAAGTTCATAACCTTCGGTTGAAGGTAACGGGGACTGCGAAGCCGGCTGCAGGTAACGAAGTTCGTGAAAGATCCAGAATGCGAGTATCTTAAGTGAATGGATGAACGAGTAAACAGTGTCGTGATTTTCGGCAACAGTGGTGGTGGGGAAGGCCAAAGGCACCGATTTTAGCCTGTTTAATTATGAATACGGGCTTCAAAGGCGGCCGCGCTAGTCCCAAGTGCGTCTGCCACCCTGATGCAGATACTTTTCACATTTCCAGCAGTGTTCTACTACCTCCCACTGGTGTTTCTTCCATCTGCCAAATCATCGCAAATATCTTCCATATTACCAGCAGTGGCTCCTTCACCTCCCGATAGTGTTTCTTCCAACTGCCACTTCATCACAGATATCTGTCACATTTCCAGCAGTGACCCTTTCAAGTCCCAGGAGTATGCCGTCTGCTGTCACAAACTAATAGCCTCTAATACATCTTCTCAGCGCTCATCGCAAAACTGCAATGAAAAGATAAATCTTACCAACGGCAGAATGTAAAAGTAGCAGATGTGATTGGATTTAATTTTGTCACGATGACTTAAAACATCTTCGACTCAAAGTGTTGGGTTGTACAAGAACTGCGGTCTAAGTTACAATGGGTCTGGCTGACAAAACAGTATTACACTGAGAAAGCGATGAGTTTCATAAGCCTGTGCATAGACATTCAGTTGTTGCAAATACGCAACCCCCCCCCTGCGTAGCCACACCGGCCACACCACCATTAATACTGCTCTCAGCTGCGACAAGTGTGTCTCAGCCGGCTATTCGACCCCTGCAAACTCTCACCTTCGGCAAGCACAAGTATCACAATGATTACATCTGTCGCCCCGACTCCACACATTACGGTCCTAACAAGCACCCGTTTATAATGGCTTCCTATCGGCAAGTGTCGCACTACGTCCTAGGCCTATGCCAAAGTATCTGGGTATCATGTAGTAAGTGTAATACATGCACTGACGGCAACTTTGCCTTCAACCCATGCTGCCGATATCGTGGTGACGAATATATAAATTGGTTCCAAAGTGTCTGAACACAACATAATGGTGCAGATTCGCGTATATTGAGGTACAGCCTGCTCAAGAAGAGTTACATACTGTGACGGTATTAAGTATGCCACGTTCACTCAGTGTTAGAGAAACGGGTTTTGTTTGAAGTTTCGCAAGCACTCCACGTCATATAACAGGCACAAAAGACCGAGCAGTGATTGACGACTTTGACGACCCTAACAATGTCATGTGTGGAGCTGTACACGACGAGAACCGTATCGGTTACAAGACTAACGTCAAATACTGCAATGCTGGTACTGGTTAAGTGACGTGTTATTATCGTGAAGTGCAGGGTCAGTTCGTCGTGAGAAAACAATTAGTCGACTCAATGCAGCTTTATGATAGTACAAAGTTCCCATTAGGCAGTTGTAAATTCTCAAATACACAGATGGAATAGATGAGAACTGTACTTGCTCGTAATGATAAAAGTTTTACGTAATCAATCACCACGTTTCATTGCTAGTGCTTCACGTCTTGTACAATATAAAGAAGGGATTACCGCTTTTTGCATGCCAATACCTTGTTCCCACGCTAAATCCTAGTGTATATCTGGTGCCTTTAGTATACTGCAATTTTCGGCTTTTGAGACAATATACATTGATATACCCGTGATGCAAGCAATTGAACAGCACACCTACACTAGTTGGCAATTGTCATATGAGCTAATATATATATATATATATATATATATATATATTAATCAGTCCCGTAAATTTTGTTTCGGTGTTTTTCACGCCTATAATTCGGTACTTATTGATTCCTCTTGCATCGGGTGGAGCTTCTGTTTTGAATCAGCGCATCTTCCTTTAATCAATGTTTGTATACTTACAGCCCACACACAAAAGACTATCTTCAGCCGGTAGGGATGAAGCCCGGTCAACTTCAGTTCAATCTCTACAATACTGATTCGAACAAAACACTAGCGAAATATGCTAAATAAATTCAACTATAGCACACTCGATACGCTTATATGTGGAGTGTATTTATTGACACTGTTGCCGTGTCTCCAATCATCCACAGTCAATCTCCGGTGTTAGTAATGCCAGATGACACGCGAACTGTCACACTCATTGACAACGTTCGAGTTTACGACATCTACAACTTGTGTCGTATTTAGTATTCAAACATCATTAGCTGCTGTCTTATCCACGACTTCCCCATCTGCCACTGACTCAGCCACTGCCCCAGTCACAGTGCCCTCCGGTTTCACACCATCCGTCTCCATCGCTTCAGACGTAGGTATCTCATCTGTTGGCCCGTCCACGTCCATAGCCCCACCACTCACACTCTCGCCCCCCTCCGCAACCCCATTGGCCACGTCACTCTCAGTATTAGTCCCTTCCATACGAGAGCTCTCCACGCTTTCCGCCTGTGTAGCCGTATCGTCTGTCACGGTTGCTGGGTCTGCTGGGTCTTGTGGCTGTTTGTCTTCTGGAAGGGCTTGTTCTGCCTTGGATGCCTGCTGACTGTAGGCGTCCAATTGCCTGTTCATCTGGCTTGCCACTCCGGCCACGTACTCGTGCATTGCTACAACATCTTCTATTCCTTTGACGTTTTTCTTAGCGTGGTTGGTGTTCTGCGTGGTTGGGATGGTGGTGGTTATGATAAGTTTAATACACACGCAAAAAAAAACCCATTTAAACGGTCGGTAAGTTGCTTGACGCGATGTTTCAAATGGTTCATTGGTCACGCTCAGGTAGTGACGAAAACATGTCGGATTCTGCATAGCCAGTTGTGAATGCATATATAAATATACATGGGGGGCTGGGGATATATATACATACCAAGATAAAGAAGGTAGTGTGTGCATATACGCGTCCACAAACACGACATTAAAACAATTCGACCGGTTATCCTGCCACAGAGATGTCATGCCTACATCATCCGCACTTCGAGGGCGTATTAATAAGCAACCTACAACTAGTACGCGCATGCCCACTTGCTCAAACAAAACTCACCTGCATAGATAGATAGATAGATAGATAGATGGATGGATACACAACGGTAGAACCGTGCATGGGATCCTATCTTGCACACGTGTGTTGGCATGGCTTCAACTGAGGACGAGTACTATGTGCATGTGCACCCACCTTTCGTACACACAAACACGTTTCCCAGAAGTCAAACGCACAGGTATACGCCCTTTTTCTACCGAACTCATCTCATTCTGCACTCGAACGCAGTTCTATCGAAACTCGACAAAGCCAAAGCACATCATACAAACTATAAAGAACAACACACACTTGAGCTACTGAATTCAATAGGGTCTGGTCGTAAACCCAAAAGTATTCGGACACAATGCCGAACACCGAAACCGTCATAACTTATATCCTGGTGTATGTGCGCTATAACTCTTATCCAGGTGTGGGCATGTGCATGTGTACATGCATGCGCATGTGCATGTACATGTACAGGTGATACCCACCTTTCTGCCACAGGGATAAGTCTCACCCAGCACCAACTGCAGCGTGGTAGGCCGCTTGACCAGGAGATCCATCGCGTTCTGCAACTCGAAGCAGTCCTTAAACATGCTCAACCGCCCAAACACATACAAGCCCAAGCGTGCACGGGATAGGGCCACTACCAGACGCCGTACATCCCGTATGTGTCCGATAGTCTTGGTGCGAACGAGCGAGAGCAGCACATAGTCGTTTTGCTGACCCTGGAACTTGTCCACCGTTGCTATGGCAGCCGGCATACCTACACAGGCGACACGACACAGATACGGGTGAGTAGGTATGGGTGTATAAGATCTCTCGGTCTCTACAATATATATACACTGATGTATCTCTCTATCTACAGCACACATAGGTTGGCGTTCGATGTTGATGCTCTGCCGACACCTCAAACAGGACTAGCGGCGTTGGTTGACACGAAGAGAAGGGATGTAGTTCTGCAGATGGTCGCTCAAACTGAAGTACTTTAAACTAAACTTAAACGGACACACTTTAAAATAAACGTACACATGTGAACCCCCCCCACACACACATACAAACGCACATCCACACACTTGCTGATAAGAACATAATGAATGGTATTTTCCGTTGGAAACACTCCAAGTATGTCCGTTATCGTACATGGTTTGAACATGCTATTGAGCAGCGCCGTCTCCCGGATACACGGTACATACCATGACAGATAATAATCAATCATAGTGATATGTTTTATACACAAGGTGCCGCAAGAATTACTCTCAGCAGTGCTGCTTGATCGACGATTAACTTCGCATATAAATATACAAAAAAACAAAAGCACAGATAGGAATCATACACACATACATACATACATACATACACATGCATACATGCATACATGCATACATGCATACATACATAAATACATGCATACATACATACAAACTCACATACGCACATACATACATACATCCATATATACATACATAGATACATAGATACATGCATACATACATACATACATACATACATAAAATACATGCATAAATACATGCATACATACATACATACATGCATGCATACATACATACATACAAACATACATACATAATATACATAAATAATTTATATACATATAAATACGTATTTAGACTAATTTACCTACATCCGTATACACACATGTGTTCCGTACCATAAAGTGATCCGCTTTGCCCACAACGTGCTGTGAAAACGTCTCTGAGCAGTGCCGCTTGTCCGTTATAGGTAGTGATAACAGAGATCTTCTCAGCAGCATAGCCTAATAGGCGCATGAACATGTACGTCGCAACTACGTATTCGGCCTCTCCCAGGTTCTGATTGGATGATGTAAATAGGTCATGGTTAGAGGATGTAACACAAGCACAAGATTTCGGAGCAGTGGGAAATGCGCTTATTCACTTTAATCAGCGATGCAGAGCTGGGGGTATGTGTGGTGTGATAGCATGTATTGCATCGTCTCTAATTCTGATTGAACTGAAAACAGAGGGTGTGTAAGCACGTATGACATCGTCTGAACTAAAAACAGAGTGAGTGTGAGTGTGTGTGTAAGCACGTGTGACACCGTCTCTAATTCTGATTGAACTAAAAACAGAGAGAGTGTGTGTGCGTGATAGCACGTATTACACTGTCTCTAATTCTGATTGGACTACAAACAGAGTGCATTGCAAGGGATAAGAGTACAGTATCAGTACATTGCATTTTGTCAACAAATTTAAACACTCTGCATCGATCACTGCTGTATGTGCACCGTTGTCAATGAATAGTCGGTTCTGTAGTGAGAGATATACCGGTATGAGGTGAAGGTGAGTGCGAAAAGCATTAGATACAATGCACAATACTGATCAGTGATGCTCTTTATATCTACATACAAAGACACAGGCACAGGC